CCTGTTTTAATAAATGTTCCATGAGATCTTGAAATAAATGTATATATTGCTGATATTGGATGGGGTGCTCTATAAATGTTGATTAGATTCTCTTTGTTGATGGAGTTGTTGAGTTCTTATATATCCTTGTCAATTTTTTTATCTAGTTGTTCTATCAATTATTGAGATGTGTTAAAGTCTCCAACTCTAAATGTAGATTTGTCTATTTCCCCTTTCAGTGCTATCAGATTTTGTTTCATGTATTTTGCAGCTCTGTTGGTTGGTGCTTATACATTTAGGAGTGCTGTGTTTCCTTGGTAGATTGAGCCTTTTATCATTATGTAATAATTCTCTCTGTCCCTAGGAATTTACTTTGCTCTAAAGTTTAGTTTATCTGATATGAATATAAATAATCCTGTTTTTTAAAAATTAATGTATGTGTTATATATCTTTTCTACTTTTTTATTTTCGATATGCTTACATTATATATTTGAAATGGGTTTCTTGTTGACAGAATATTGTTGGATATGTTTTTTTAATCCACTCTGCCAATCTGTCTTTTAATTCCTCTACTTAAACACTATTGTTTAGCATTTCATATTTAATGTGATTATTGATCTGTTAAGGCTTAAGTCCACCATTTTATTTTTATTTGTTTTCTGATTATTCCCTCTGTTTCTTAGAGGGATATGTTTTTTCTCCCTGTCTTCCAGTCAGTTACTTGAATATTCTTTTAAATTCCATTTTGATATATTTGTGGTGTTTTTGAGTGTATCTCTTTATATAGCTTTTTTATTGCATGTTCTAGGCATTACATTATATATACACAACTTATCACAGTTTACTGGAGTTGACATTTTACCAGTTTGAGGGGGGTGTAGAAACTTTTCTTCCCTTTACTCTCCTCCATCTATATTATTGTTTTAAACATTTCCTCTATATGCCTTGAGAACCACATCAGACAGTGTTGTACATTTTGCTGTAACTGGCAGGCATAATTGAACATCAGCATAAGTCTATTGTATCTACCTATATTTTTGCTCTTTCCATTGGTCTTTCTCCCTGATATTACCAGATTCCTCCCCTTACTATTTTTTCCTTCATTGTAAACTTTCTATTATTTTAAGGGAGACATCTGAGAATGACTTGATTTCCCCTTCACTCCTGAAAGATATTTTCCTTGAATGTAGAATTCTGAGTTGACAGCTCTATTCTTTCAGTACTTGGAAAATAATGTAACCTATCTCTGGCTTACATGGTTTCTGATAAGAAATCTATTGTCATTCAACAAAATTTTGCCCTATTAGAAAGGTGTCCATTATGCTTTACATCAGAAATTGACACAGTATAACTGACTGTATTTCAATAAAAAGAAAGAAAGAAAGGTGTCATTTCTCTCTTGCTTCTTTCAAGGTTTTTTCTTTGTCTTTAGTTTTTAGAAGTTCGATTCTGATGTGTCTTTGTTTGAATTTCCTTAGGTTTACCCTGTTTGGGGGTTAACTTAGCTTCTTGAATCTGTAAGTTTATGTCTCTCTCAAATTTGGGAAAATTTCAGCCTTATTTCCTGGAATAAATATTTTTGTAGGAAAGATTACCAGAAGTAGAATCTCCGGGTAAAAGGGTCCAAACATTTAAAATTCAATAGATATTTTCAAATACTTATCCCAGAGTTTATGGCAGTTTTTACTCCTGCTGACTTTGAATAAAAGTGATTGTTTACCCACCCCTTTACCAACAGAAATTATTATTAATCTATTAAACCTTTGCCAATGTCCTGAACAAAAACAATGCATTATTGTTTTAATCTACATTTGTTTTTAGTGAAGTTGAGCATATTTTTATGTTTGTTGACCATTTATATTTATTCTCTAATTGTTCATTTCCTTGCCAATTTTTTTGATGGGTGGTTCACCTTTTTCTTGTTGATTGTGTAGTTCTCTTTGTGCTGACAATGTTTTTGGCCAATTTGTTGTTAGGTTTTTATTAACCCTGTTTTTGTTTTTGTTTACTTGTTTTGCTCAACAAAAATTTAAAAATTTTAGCTCCTAAAATTTATTGAGCCTTTCGCTATTTCTAGATTTTTTAAAAATCCTGTTTAGAAAGGTTTTTCTTTCTGCAAGGTTATAAAAATATTTTAAAATATTTTGTCTAGTATTTCCATGGTTTCATTTTCACAATTATGTGAAAAATATTATCATGTAAAAGTAAGGTAGATAATAGTGATCTCTTCTGTCAGGTTTTAATACAGGTATGTAGTGGGAAGGAGAAAGGGGAGTTTAGGAAAGTGTTGTATGCTTGGGCGGAGGAAAATATTCGAAAATGGTAGACCAAAGGATGGTCTCTTCTTAATGTTCTCACTGAGTGCAACCTAAAGGAAAGGCTAAATCAACTGGAAGTATGAAAGTTGAGAGGAAAGCAAGTTTTAAAATTTTTGGAAAAATTATAATTTTTACTCAATATCTTTTTTGTTGATGTGAAAAACTGGGACGAAATAGGGAAAATGAAATTGCTTGTTTTGTGATCTTTGTGTTGCCGTTGTTTTGGTGGATGGACCTTTTTCTCTTTAGTCAATTGCGTTAGTACTATACTTTCTTTATGGTGCATCCCAGTGTGACACTTGTCTATAGTGATGACCCTTAAAAGGTACTTATTTACTTGGTTTACAGATTTTTTCAGCCATCTGTTGAGGAGGCAGATATGGGGTAATGCTTATGTGTTTGGTCCCTGCAATCAGCTTACTGACTGTGTGATCTTGGGCAAGTTACTAAACTTCTCTGTACTTCAAGTTTCTCTTTTGAAAATAGGGACATTAACAACTCATTGTATTGTTGTGTCAGAATAGTGTCAAACACATAGTAAGCAATTGATAAATGTGAACTATTCTTAATGCTAATTACTGGAGATGGAGCACAATAGGTGTGGTCCTTGCAGTTATGGATCTTGCATTCTTGAGTGAGGAGGTAGGTTAAAAAATTACAAATAACAATAATTACTCTAAAAGAAATGTAAGGGGCTGAGATAAAGTATAAGGGAATGGGAGAAGAATCCTACTCTAGTTAATATGAAGAAGGAACATTTAAGCTGAGGCTTGAAGCTTGAGGGAAAAAAATTACAAGTAATTTAAAGAAGAGAGAAAGAATGTTTCTGATAGTGGGAACATCATGTGCAAAGATCCCAAGGGGAGGAGTTTTGGTATATTCCAAGTTTTGAAAGAAGACCGTTATGGCTGGAATGGAGTGAATGAGAAAAAGAGTTGTATGAGACAAAGTTGATGAGATAAGTGGGGCTTGTAGGCCAGAGTAAGGAGTTTGGATTTTATTTTAAGTTCTGTGGGAAACCACTAAAGCATGAGAGGGACATGATATATATATATCATATATATATATATATATATTTTAAAAGATTGATCTTAGATAAACAACAATGTCCTACTATATAGCACAGGGAATATATTCAATATCTTGTAATAACATATAATGAAAAAGAATATATATAAGTGTATAACTGAATCATTATGCTGTACACCAGAAACTGACACAACATTGTGAATCAACAATACTATAATTACAAAAAATATTGATCTTATTGTTGTATTGTATTTGCATTAGAGAAGAGTCAGATTGGAAAGGGGGACAACAGCTTGGAGGCTTCTGACAGTGGTCCAAATGAGAGACTATAGAGGTAGTGGAGATGGAGAGAAGTGGATGGATATAAAATATATTTTTGAGGTAAAATCAATAGGACTTGTTGAAGGGTTGGATATGGGAGGGTAAGGTATTGGAAAAGAGTTTGAATCAAGGGTAATACACAGGTTTCTGGCTTGCTTAACAGGCTTAATGTGGTACCAATTTCTGAAATGGAGGACACTAGAGGAAGGATCAGGTTAGTTGAGGGTTGTGAATATGTCGCGTTTGAGGTGCCTATTAGACATCGAAGTGGAGACGTGGAGTAGTCAGTTGAATTTTTGAGTCTGGGGTTCAGGGTCAGTTTAATTTAGATGATATTTAAAGTCATGGATCTGGATACCATAACCTAGGGAGATTAAAAAGAGAAGAATCTGGGATCATGTGATTGTTTTACCTTTATTGTAGAAGCTATGAGATACTAAAAGGTGAATGGACTAATAATAAAGGTAAGGATGTAGTTTAGTGGTAGAGTATCTGCTACATATGCAGGAATTTCTAGATTTTATTCCTGGCATCGCCGTTTTCTCTTTGCCTCCTCAGAGTACAAGGCAGGGCTATAAACTCTTCAAGTCTTTTGTCAGTTACTCATATATATGTTTTTTCTAGTTCCTGGAACAAAACAGGTGTTCAATAATAAATATTTGTTGAATGAATGAATTAATGTAGGAATGAACTGAATGAGAATTTCTAGGTTGTGGTACTCGCTTTGCCACAACGCAGCCTTGTGACATTGGGCAGTTAGCAAACTATAATTTTGTTATCCGTAAAATGACAATAAGAAAAGTACCTATCTTTTTGGACAGGGTTTAAAACAATAAAAAAAATTATAGCAATCAGTACGGAGCTAACAGTCAATTTAATGATAGCTACTATTAGCTCTCTGCGCTTCGGTGCTTATCCATAAAATAGGGGGGAATAATTTCTGCTCTGCTTCCCTCACAAGGCGATTTGTGAAGCCGGCAGGAGTTAACGTTTGACTCTACAAAAGCTTATTAATATTAATGTTTTAATTAGTCTGAACCTACATAATACAGCCACTCTCCCCCATTCTCCAGCAGGATTATTTAAATGAAAACGTGTCTTAAAGAGACCCAGTACTCCTGCTTGTCAGCGTAGCCTGGTCCAACCAACGGTACTCGAAGCCACGCCCCCTTGTGAAGTCTATTAGCAGAGTTCAGTTTAAAAGAATACCCAGCCCCGCCCCTCCCCGCTAGGCCAGTGCAAGTCTCAACTGCACGCTGATTGGCCCTTGCTGGCCAATCATCACTGCTCTTCCTCCCGGGGGTGTAATTTTCAAAATTGGCTACTGGGAGGATCTGAGAGAGCACCCGGTAAGTTGAGAAGGACGCGAGAGTTTCAGCAACACGGAGCTCTGTTCATTTCCCGGGCCTTTCCTGGGCTAGAAGTGCGTCCGTGGTCTTTCTTGTTCCGCCCTCAGTCTCGATATGAGGTAGGCGCCTTTGAACTTTAAACTGCCCGCTCGAATGTCCGGCTCTGCCGCACACATGTCAGTCCTTAAACCTCACTCCATACCCTTGCTACTCGCTACCTTCTTTTGCCGGGATGAACGGCATCCCTGTCACGAAAACTTTGTTTTCTCCTGTCAGAAAGCAGTCTGCAGAGAGAGCCCTGTACGAGGTTGGGCAGGGAGGGTGTACTTGAAGGTGAGATGGCAAAGCCAACGAGACTGGGTCCAGGCTTTTAGATGGAGCGAGCAGTACACATGACTGAATCAGTATATTTACATAACGTCTTTTCACAAGTGAAACCGTACAGAATCAGTTTCATTCACAAGACGGATTTAAGCCAGAGTGCTCCTGGAGAGGTGTCTTTTGAACTACAGGTTGAAGAATGTGAATGGGGGATGAAAACGTGTCTTTTCTCCCTTGTTATCTGTTTTCTCTCACTGGCTTGCTTCCATCACCACCTCCAACCCCTTCAACTCTGGCTTTCCTACTGTTCTCTGCTATGGTCCCCTTAGAATCCTAGGATGTCAAAGGTTGAAGGGACCCTAGAACCGTGCTTTTTAAACTTTAAAGTGCACACATAGCACCTGGGGATATCGTTAACTTGCACTTTCTGATTTGGTAGGGCCTAGCTTGGGGCCCGAGGTTTTAAATTGCTAACAAGCTCCCAGGTGATGCTAATGTTGCTGGTCCATTGACCACGGTTTAAATATCTGTCAAGGAGGCGCTGGACCCACTGTCTCTTTTTATTAGGTGGGGGAATGAGGCCTGGAGAGGGAAAAGGGACCTGTCCAGTGTCACACAACCAGCTAGGGGCAGGCTCAGAACTAGACCCTAGGCATCCTTCCCAGCCCAGTGCTACTTTCATTGACACCATGCTGCTTTCTCTCCCCAGTGTCTTGCTATCTGTAACCTACCTTCATATATAAAAAGTTGCTACTGTTTCCTGAGACTGTCTTGATCTGCAGTTTCGGACTCTGAGCAGTTGGGCTTCTGAACAAGCCAACTTGCTCCTGTGTGAGTTTCAGCACCAGCCCTGGGGTGCCCAGTGGAGTCTCCAACACTTATCAGTGTGTATGTAGGGGAGATGGAAAGTCTGGAAAGTGCAAAGGATTCTAATTTTCTTGTCCAAGTAAGGCTAAGGGTTCTGTAGGTGGTAGAGCAAGAGTGTTCTTTTATGGAAGCATGTTTTTGGTGGTGTCAATCCCCTCCCCTCTCCTAGTGGCAGGGAAATTACTTAAGTCAGTGTCTGTGTCCCTCAAAGCAAGTGATTACTGTTCAGAATAATGAAGGTGCTATATGACCATCATCTGAAAAACCTTATTTTCTTGGAGGGTAAGTCAACCTGTGACATCATCAACTGAAAGTTTTCTGACCTGTTGACTCCAGTTTGATTTTTTCTTTCTGCTTGAAAGATAAAGATTTCAGAACACAAGTCTGTGGCCATCCATAAAAAATTGTATGAGGTGTGAATAGTAATAGTGGAGTAAGTGGTTTTCATACAGTGCAGTTAAGGGTGGGTTCACCTAATTTAGCTTTATTGCTGCTTGGCTGAGTTTTGAGGGATGAGATGGAAAACAGGTTTGGATTGGGAGGAAGAGAAGGAGAATTAGACATACCATTTATTCTGAGTGCCTACCATGTGTTAAGCTTTGCACACACAAACTGAGCCACACAATATCTCCGCAAGTAAGAGGTGGTGTAGCTCTTTCACCAATGAGGAAACTGAAGGCTCAGAGATGCTAAGGTGGCTGATTTAGAAACCCAATTGGTTCTTTTTTTTTCTTGGAGGGGCTAGATAACTAGGTTTGTTTGTTTGTTTATTTATTAATGAAGATACTGGGAATTGAATCCATGCATGCTAGGCATGCACTCTACCACTGAGCAATACCCTCCCCTGCAATTTCTTCTTGGGAAAAAAAAAAGCCTGTGCTTATTCTAATACCTCATACTACCACACTATGGCCTTTCACTTTGGACTGTGGACTGTTTTGGAATCTTTTTGAATACAATGAGAGACTTCATGGTATTTTAGAAAAGAGCCCTGGGAAGAGCTGGGTGATCTATGCTGCTTAATAGCTTGTCCTGTGGGGGAAAGGTATAGCTCAGTGGCAAAGTGCATGCTTAGCATGCAGGAGGTCCTGGGTTCAATGCCCAGTATCTCCATTAAAAAAAAGTTTGTCCTGTGTAGTAAGTCACTTAACTCACTTGGGACTATACAATGGAAAGAATTATATTTGTCCTGCTTACCCTCACAGTTTTGTTGGGAGGACTAACATGTAATAAATGTGAAGGCATATACTTGTACTGACTTTTCCTCACCAACAAAATATTTAGTATTCTCCGTCCAAAGCAAAACCCAAGTTAGCCTTTCTCCTTTCTTAAATCTTTCCCCTCAAACTTCAGGGTCCTCTACAGTTTTACCAGTGTGACTCCAGCCCAGCTTTCCAGCCTCTTTCTAACTCAACCCTGACACATTCTTTATACTTCACATTCCAGACAACTTGGATGTTCCCAAACCTGCTGTGCTCTGCCTATTCAAGCCTCTGCCTGGACTCAGGCTTTCTTTGCCTGGAAAGCTCCCCTGTCTATGTGGGAACATCTTTGTCACTTGAGTCCAGATCAAATATAGCCTCCTCTGTGAAGTCTTCCTCCATTTCTTGTATCCCACAAGATTACTGACTTTCCATTATGTTACTAAAGTACTTTGTATCTACCATTATTAAATCATTTGTCACATTTTTATGTTGCTATTAGAGCTGTGCCTGTGAATACTTCTAGGATAAGATATATGATTTATTTGTGTTTGTATCTCCATTGCCCAAAGTATCTGGTATATAGTGGTAAATTTGCTGCATTGCCTTTAGGGTCTCTCTTATAGAAGCCTGTTCTTTGTCAAATGCAGTGAACTTGATGGGGGGAGGATAATAGCTCAGTGGTAGAGTACACACTTAGCATGCACGAGTTCCTGGGTTCAATCCCCTGTATCTCTATTAAAAAATTAAGTTGAACTTGGAGACTGAATATGAGTGGAGTTGGAAGGGCTGTTGTACCTGAGTGGGAAGGGTTTCTTGTATATCGAAAATGCTGTAGAGAGTCTGGGATTTCTCAAGAATTTTCAGAGAATTCTGTGATGTTTCTGGTGAATGATGTTTTAAAGAATCCTTTTCTGATTGCAGCCCTGCGTTGGATAGATACTGCTGAACCTGTAAGAGATGCCACTGCCAGTACCACCCCGATGCTCCAAACCTGAGACTAAGAAATCTCAGTCCAGCAAAATTGTGCCCAGTGATCATGGCACATCTCAAAAGGTTAGAGCCAGCTGTCTACTCCAATGGTGTCCCAAGTAGCCTCTTCCTGTATTGGCTCAGTCACTATCCTTATCCCTTCATCGTTTGGAATACGTGTGGTTTAATCTGAGAAGGTGGGAAAGGGTGGCAGACCTTGTAGTTGGAAAAGACCAGCAAATTAGAACTTGGGGAGAAAGTGTGATGTCTTCTTTCCCATCAATGCATGGCTAAGATGAAGGCCATCCTCCACAACCTTCAAAAGCAAACAGTACTCAATTCTCTTTAGTGATCATGTCTGTACTCTTACTTTCTCTGAGGTGCTCAAAGTACCTTGCCAGGAGGCTGCTTGCTACATCCTGGAGAGAGTATGAAGATTAGGTCAACAAATGTATTATAATGCTTTTTACAGCTATTAAATTTGAAGAATAGGTTCATTTTGACTCTGCTGTTTTGACCTTGTGGATAGTTTGACATTGTCATTCTGACCCTGCGATGATGTTCTATGTTCATCATCATTCATATTTTAATCAGAATTTTACTAACACTGATGAATTGTCATTAAGGAAGTATTTCCTGGAGCAAACAGCATTAGGCCAATTTCATTTCCTTGATTGGTTTTCTCTCAGCACAGATAAACATTTTCTAATTATTTTCATTTTTGTCTTACTAGAATGATTTTTTCTGGGAGGGGCCAAATGTTTTTTTCCTGTGTAAATTTTGCAAGAAAGATTTAGTACATTGGTCAGATTTTGTCCATATCAAATATTCTGATTAGAGTTCTACCACTGTAAGTTTTCTTTTGTGGCAGTTATTTTTCCCAATCCAACTCCCTCAGGGCACATTTTGCAAATAAAAATTTTATTGAGTTCACTTTCACCCATTAATTTTATTTGGGGCTGATTATTTCTGCCAGTAATATTAAGTAGGCATTGGATAACAGACCAACAGTTAATTTGTAAGAAACTGGCTAATTTGTAAGAAAATAATAATTTATTTACTTGCTAATTATTTCCACTAGGATTATTTATCATGAACTAGATAAAAGACTAAGAAGTTTACTTATTTCTTAGCTTACTCATTTAGAAACAGAAATCATTCTTTTCAGCTCTTATAGGATTGCTCCAATGGGCTAGATTGGTCTATTACAATAGGGATCCAATTCTGTAAATTTCTAATCACTTACTGTGCCATGTACCAACTGCCCATGGTATAAATAGAGAACAGGGCAAATAAATGGTCTGATCCCCATGTTCTGCTTCACATTATAACAACTCTAGGACATAGGTAGGGCAGGCTTCTCATTTCATAAGGGAAATCTGATGCTTGGGAAAGTTTCACCAAATAAAAACTGTTGGGAATAGAAGATCCCTACAGTGTGGTGTACCTTGACCTCTAACCCCATAGAGACAGTCTTGCTCTTTTGAGAGTGGGATGTACAGTTAAACGCTACCTAGAAAGAGAGCTTCCTTTGCTCCAAAATAGTATACACTAACAATTAGGGATTAATATGGATTACCAAACTCTTTTCCTAAAATATAAAATTTCCCCCCTCAAAAAAACTCGAATTTTTCCTATAGGGTTTAAAATCATATTGGACTGTGTACTTTAAAAATACTATTTTTGTCCACTTGCAGTTTATATAGACTTTTTAAAAAACATGCATTCTCATGTATAAGCACATTTGACTGTCCTTTATGATTGAATTACTGCATTTTGTTGATTCTTTTTTTGTGGTTGGCTTTATTCCATTGATAACTATGTAAGTTTAAAAAGCTAAAGCTCTAAACTGTTCTTAGAAACAATGAACAGTACACATATGTAAATTAAAAAAAACCTGTCTGTTCTTGTGTTGGGGGAGGGTATAGCTCAAGTGGTAGAGCACATGCTTAGTGTGCACGAGGTCCTGGGTTTAATCCCCAGTACCTCCTCTAAAAATAAACAAACAAACAAACCTAATTACCCCCCCAAGTAAATAAGTTTTTTAAAAAAACTTTAAAAATGCATTCTTTTATTGAATCCTCAAATAAGGTAGGTTATCATTCCAATTTTACTGATGAGAAAATTGAAGCTCAGAAATTAAGTGACTTGTTCAAGGTCACCAGCTAGTAAAGAGCTGGTCCTGGACCAGTGTCTAGATAGGCATGTTATTGTCCTTATTGGGAACGTCTTAAATCAACTATTTAACGTAAGAAATACTTAAATGTTGTTAAATTATTGAACTAATTTACCTGGGAGCATCCATATTAAAGGAATGACTGGGATTTGCAGGGTTGTGGCGGTGGTGATGGTTCATCTTGGCTAGGATAGCCAGAAACATGAGAGGAATAGGAGAGAAAATTACCTTCACTAAGCTATTTTGCTCATTCTGAGAGTTACACTGAAGGTCATCTTGTCTCCTCACAGCCTTGTCCCTGTCATCAATGATGACCTCCTTCAAGAATGCTCTAAGCAGCAGTGAGTGCTGACATTTCCCTGTGTTGTGGTTTTTTGGGGTTTATTAGATGCATCCCCAGTTCCTTGGAGATTCTGGCATTTCCCCAAGCCCCAGAGATGACCCAAAGTCCCTTAAAAGACTGTTCACAATTGGATCTACTCATTTACCTCTTTTACTTTTTTTAGAGAGGGGAGAATTGCCAAACAAAGAGATCTCCATCTTCACCTCTGGGACCACTCAAAAAGAGATCAGCTTTTGAAGATCTCACCAATGTGAGTATGCTAGTCCAATCCTCTACCATGGTGTTGTATATGGTTTAGATCACCTCTTCCTTGAGTGGCCTTTCCAGTTTATCAGACCCTGACCCTTCTGTAGAACGTTGAGAGCCAACTTTATTTGGAATCCATGACCCAATTTCAGAAACTGCGGGGGCTCTTCTGCTGGCACATACCATCTGGAGTAAATGGTGGAGCTCTCTGGAAGCAGCAGAGTTATTATCAGATACAAAATTGTAGACAAATGAGAAATATGAGATCTTGCATTTAGATAAAGTCCAGAGGTGACTCAACTGGCTGCTTAGGCCTTGGAGGCAAGTACTTAGGTGGATTCATTGTAAACTAGGGCAGTGTTTATCCATTCAAGCACTAGGGGCATTTTGGACAGGACAATGTTTCTATTGTGTAGAATTGACCTCAGCCAGCATCCTGGCCCCCAGGCATTAAGTCCCAGCAGCATCCCAGTGGCAGTAACAATCAAAAATGCCCTCTGATGCACAGAACCATTAAGGACCACAGTTCCAACTATGGAGATCTAGAAATTCAATTTTGACTGGAATTCTTGAGTTTACTTCCAAGTTAGCTCCCTTCTGATACTATTAAGGTACTAGCAAAAAAAATCAGGTTTAACAGTTAAAATGTTCCTAATTGAATATAAAATTGGGCCAAAGGTAATCTTTGGTCTTTGAAAATAATAGCTGATGCCTACTGAGTGCTTACTATGTGCCAGGCACTATTCTAAGCACTGTTTCATGTATCCACTCACTTAATCCTCATAAAATCCTATGAGGCAGATACTATAATTATCTTCACCTTACAGAAAAATATTTGCCCAATGTTGGTTTTGAAGTCTGGTTCATCTAGGATACAGAGAACCCTGGTGAAATATTCCTGCCCTCTATAATAGAGTGTCTTTCTGTGGCTACCAGAATTCTCATATCTGCTAGATAATATTTTACCCTCTAAAGTGGGATTGGATAAGCATTGGCAAAGTTTTCTGCTTGTATCTCTGCTCTCTACATGCTATGTGACCACTCACTCTTGTACTCAAACAGTCTCTTTCCCATTCAGATTACAACATGTATGATTATAATCAGATTTACTCTAGATTGGTTGAAAGAGATACCTCCCATACAGGCCTATAAGGTTAGATTCATTTCCTGACTGATGTAACTGTGGATCTAGAAACTTAGCTGAAATAAGGTGGCCACACAAATCAGGAGCAGATGCAGCCAATCTTAGTGTAGCTTCCCTTGGCCCTCAGAGTCCCTGATGACACTGTGCAGAGCAAGGCCTAACAGCATATGAGAAACTTGCTCTCAGTCCTTTTTTTCATGAGGTTTATATCATCATTTATAAAGAACAAACACAAATAAATGAATAGGAAATACATGCAGCTATCTAGGACCCTCCCGGTTCTCCAACTGAATTCAACATCTGTTAGGCCACGTACTTATCCAGGGTGGGGTGGGAGAAGCAAGGCACCCCTGAGAAGAACCTCTGCCTCTAGCTTTTCAGAAGCTCAGAAAGCCCATTTCCCTTTTGAGTTCAAGGCCTGAATCAACTTTGGTCACCTTGACTTGTCTTTAGTGCTTTCCAGAGAAAGTTCCATCATTACAATGTACCTAAGCCACTCCAGGGTTGGGTCTTTATGCAGATGTCTGAGATCATCTCTTGGAGGGTTGAAGGCTCCTTTCTCTCTGAATTTTGGGGATTCCCTTTATGATGATTTGCTTCTTCCTGTCAGTATTACTAGGTCTCCATGCCTTATATCTATCTCATCAAGTTTCACCACTGTGAGGTCCTGGCCTGCTGAAAGAATTGATCTGTTTTAAGGGGAGGGTATAGCTCAGTAGTAGAGCGCATTGTTAGCATGCAGGGGGTCCTGGGTTTGATCCCCAGGACCTCCATTAAAATAAATAAATTAAATAAAAACCTAATTATCTTCCCCACCCCCCAAAAAAGACTGATTAAAAATAAATAAATAAAATTTAAAAATAAAAATAAATTAAAAAACAATGAAAAAATAAATTAAAAAAAGAATTAATCTGTTTTACTTAGTTAATCTGCTGTAAGTGTTCTTTTTTTCCCCCTCTCCTTCATCATTCCAGCATGAGAAGGACTTTTAATTTGGTAGAGCTGGTCCTAAGCCAGTGGATGAGAAGATAAGGTCTATATCCATGTTTACCTAAATTATTCTTTGTCAGGAAGATTTTCATCTCTATTTTCCTACTTCTTGGTGAAAGAATTATGGGGGAAGTACTGGGAAAGGTCCCCTTGAGCTTAGATCTTAAAATAATTAGTGCTCTGAACCTTCACATATGGCAAGGAGAAAATTTCCCCCTGGGGATTAGGGTCTCCACCTCTCTCCTGCTAAGAAAAATCACCTCTTTTCCAATTCCAAATCTCAGTGAACACATAGGGAATTTGTAAAACTTTAGGTGAAGTTGAAATGAAAACTGTGCCAAGCTCTTTGAGGAGCAGAAGTGGACAACAATTGAGGGCCTAAGAAAGAATTTCCTATTGGATTGTAGTTGCTTATTATGGAATAATGATACAAAGGTGTAATTTTTTTTACATTTCATTTGGAAATTCAAATTTACAAAAAGCTGTAAAAAGAAAAAAACAGTACAAAGAACACACATATACCTTTTACCTAGCTAGATTCACCTGTTATTAACATTTCATCCCACTTGCCTACATACATCATGGCCCTTTACCCCTAAGTACTTCAGTGTATGTTTCCTCAGGGAAATTGTCTTATGTAACCACAGTATAGTCAGCAACTTTATAAAGTTACATTGATACAGTATTTTAATGTAATTTTTATGTAATCTATTGTCCATATTCCATTTTTTTTCAGCTGACCTTATAAAGTCAATGTTATAAGCCTTTTTCCCCCTCTAGTGAGGGAATCCAGGCTAGCATCATTTACTTGTCATATCTCTGGCTTCTTTTAATCTGGGACATTTCCATAGCCTTTCCTTGTTTTTTATGACATTTTTGAAGAATACAGTCCCACCCAACCCCCCTATTTTAAAAATAGAACATTCCTCACTTTGTGTTTATCTGATGTTTCCATGTGATTAGTTTGACGTTATATACGTGCTTGGCTGGAAAATGCGTAGATTATGTTCTCTCCTTCTTAGAGTATCACATCTGGAGGCACACGATGTCCCTCTGCCCCTCATTGGTGATGTTCATTTTGATCACCCAGTCTGGATGTTGTCTGGTTTCTCCACCGTATAATTACTGTTAATTTTTTTCCCTCTTGCAATGAATAGGCAGTCTATGGGACACACTCTTAAGAGCTGGCCGATAATCTGCTCTTCATCAAAATGTCCCCCAGATTTAGCATCTGTTGATGATTTTTGCCTAAACCAACCTTTAAGATATTTTTTCCATCTCTAGCACTTGCTCTCCATTTACCAGTCTACCCATGGCATTCTACTACAAGCAGGGCCTTCCCTTCTTCTCTGTTTATTTATTATTGGTATAGACTTATGAATTCCTATTTTTTCAGTGGTTTATTGCTCATTATTTTATTAAATTATTTTGGTGCTCAGATTATCTCAGATTTGGCCACTATGGTCCCCTTTAATCTGACTACTGTATCTTTGTGACATACTTATAATGTTTTGAGCATTTTCTTTCCAGCATAACAGGATGTTCTAGGTTCATCTTGTATCTATTTTATCCCAGCCTTGGAGTCAGCCATTTTTCTGAAGAATTCCTGTTCCTTTTAGTGGGGAATGATATTAGAGCCAAAATCTCAGTGCTAGGTGTACTACTGGGGTGTCTGCATTTTTTCCTGCCCCTTCAGTAGACAGAACTAGGAAATGTCTGCATGTATATACACACGTATCTATAATGAAACATATATACATATATCTATATATACAAATACACATGTCCCCATATACTCAGATGTATGTATACCTATACTTATTTAAGAAATCATGAGTCTGAACAGGTCCCATTCCAACACACAGGGTTCTTTCCTATATTTCTCAATCCATATATGTGTATTCCTTCTTCTAAAATGAGAACCATGTTTCCCAAGATAACCGACATATTTACTCAATACTATAATACATCTAAAAGAGTTTCAAAATTACTTCTTCTACCCCACCATAATAAACAAACCTACTAAAAGTAGTTCCAGATTTGTTTGCAATATTCTCCACCACCCTACATACAAACCAATACTGACTGAGGATGTATATGTTGAAGGTAGATAGTCTAACCCTGTGTTTACCTGGATTAGTTGTTTCTTGTCTTATACTTTCTTCTGTTTTTTTTTTGTCCTTTAATGTGGTCATGGTATCTATTTGGGATATAATTAGATTCCCTTTGTTTCATTTTGAAGGCATAACTTTTAAAATTATTTTTACTGACATGATTCACAGTCTCATGGTCTCCTCTACTGTTTAATAGAAATAGTCATGATTAGAGTTTGTGATGAAGCCCCTCAGAGCACATGTTAAATAAATATCCCCTCAGCGGGATGGGATAGATGTATCACAGGTAGTGTTGTGATACAGGTCTACCCTGAAAAGCTAGTTGATCTTGGTATATACCCAGGCAGCAAAGCCAGTTTGATTGCCTTTTTTCCCCCTCTGAACATCCTGTGGGGTCAAAATGGAATGTGATATTTACAAAGTATCTTTTTTGTGAATTTTCCAGCCAGTATGCCTGACATGGAGATCAGAACCACATCCTATGTATGTTGGAATCACGTAGGGCTGCTATTTAGCTAATATGTACCAGTACTACTGTACCGCTAGCTTCCATCATGATTAGTCGGCAGCAGTACCATACTGGTTGTGAGATGTTTTGATTGGTGTTCCTGGGAACAACCCAACAAGGTGTCCAGTGTGAGAGTTTTGTTCAGGACTTTCCTATAAGAGCCACCTATTGGGTAATTTGAGGTTCTTTCCATTTTCTTGCTTCCTTCACCTGACCCCCTAAACCCTTCTTTCTTTTTTTTTTTTTTTTTGCAGGCTTCTCAAAGTCAACCTGCTCAGCCCAAAAAGGAAGCCAACAATGAGTTTGTTAAAGATATTTCCAAGAAGACAAACAGGAACACACCTGCTTGTGAGTTGGACAAAAACAAGATGAATGTAAAAAGGTGAGTAAGAGGGGATTCAGATGGCTTTGTTTAGATGGTAAAGGAGAACATGTGACATCCTTTTGACCCTCTTTTGTCCCCATTGAGAACATTTTTAATAGGGCACAGTGGTGAGTACTCCATTAACCCTGGGTGTTTAGGTGGCTTTGCAAACAGCTGTGGTTTGCTAAGTTACTGAAGCATTGCAGGCCTCTTCTCTCTCCCCCTACACCCCACCCCCATGGTGTGTACTTACTGAAGGAGCTGTTGTCATTGGAGAGTTTGCTAAAAGATCTTGTGTGCATCTTTTCTCTCTTTTAGTAGTTCAGTCCCTGATTGAGCCAGTCTGTGCTTGAGAATGTGGGGGCAACTTAACTTTTCAGGGGATTCTCAGCAGCTGGCTGATAGCTTGCCAGTCTGCTTATCCCATTAGAAGCCTTGGGGGAGGTTTGTTTCTTGTTACTGTAGAGAAATTACTATCTCCTTAGGCCAGAAATGTGTATTTTCCAGCTGTTATAGGGAACTGATTACAGGTTCTGCAAGTAGATATGAGTATTCTCATCTAGGATTGGAAAAAGGATTTACTCCTAGGAAAACTTTTATTGGAAGAAGAGTTAAAAAGTGAAATGAGACCTTTCTATATCCTCTTCTCATTCTAGTGGGGATTACTTCTTCAGGGAAGAATAGAATAGATTAGCTAGGTAGCTACAGCAGGGCTAAGCAGGGGTTCCAAATGGTAAGGGAGAAAGTCTGTGAAAACTCCAAAAACTTAACATGCCAGGTCCATAGGACATTTTGCTAACTACCCATCAGAAAGAAATCAAACCAGAAGATTAGCATTTAGCCCTACTTGGTTTCTTGATGAAATGGAGTTCTCGGGATTTGCATGAATATTTTGACTTTAATTCCCTGCATTATTTTCTTTTGAATATCATTCATCATTCTGATTTTAGCGGAAATGCCATATACGTTCTTGTCTTCGTTCAGAGTTCAGTGGAATGGATCCTAATAATAGTACTAGAACTAACATCTGTTGAGAGCTCACTATAATCATGCATTATATTAAGGATTTTTTTTGGGGGGTAACAGCTTTATTGAGATGTAATTAACATACCATACAACTCACCCCTTTAAACCATACAATTCAATGGTTTTTAGTATATTCATAGAGGGAGGAAGCATCAGTCCTTCACTATTAGCTATGATGTTAGCTTTGGGATTTTCATAGATGCTCTTGCTTAGTTGAAGAATCTCTTTTCTAGTCTTCATTTGTTGAATACTTTTTATCATGAAAGGTGTCAGATTTTGTCAAATGATTTTTCTGGATTTACTGAGATGATCATGTAGCTTTTGTTTTTTATTCCATCAGTGTGGTGTGATACTTGAATTGATTTTCAGATGCTAAACTAATTTTGCTTTCCTAGGATAAATCCCACTTGGTCATGGTGTACAACCCTTTTATGTACTGCTGGATTTGGTTTGCTAGTATTTTCAGGAGGATTTTTGCATCTGTATTCATAAGACATATCAGACTAGAGTTTTCTTGTGATCTCCTTGTTTTTGGTATCAGGGTAATATTGGCCTCATAGAATAACTTGGGAAATATTCCTACCTCTTCCTGAGTAGTTCATGAAGTATTAGTATTAGTTCTTCTTTAAATGTTTGATAGAATTCACCAGTGAAGCCATCTGGGCCTAGATTTTTCTTTGCGGGTAGTTCTTGATTATTAATTCAATGTCTTGTTACAGATCTGTTGAGATTTTCTGTTTTCTTTTTGAGTCAGTTTTGGTAGTTTGTATCTTCCTAGGAACTTGTCCATTTTCTTCTGAATTATCTGATTTATTGGTGTGCAACTGTTTCTAACAGTTGTTTGTTTTAAGAGTTTTTATACATATTAATTAATTAAGTCTTCACAGTAAGCCTATAGAGGAGGTAATATTATGACCCTCATTTTATAGGTGAAAAAGGTGATACATAGAACATTAACTTGCCCAAGATCACTCAGCCAAGAAGTGGAGGGGCCAGGGTTTGGATACAGACAGTCTAGATCCAGAATGCATGCTCTTTATCATAACTAGACTATCTGAAGACTACCTTTAGAAGTTCTCATCTGGAGGGACCTGGAGCCTATCTGATCAGATGGAGTCTTTTGAGGCACTTTTTTTTTAATTTAGTGTTTTTTTTTTCAAGTTAGGTTGTGCAGCCATTACCTATCTAATTTTAGAACTTTTTTAGCACCCCCCCAAAGAAACTTATACCCATAGTCCCTTCTCTTTCCCAGTACCCCTTTCTATCCACCTCCCCCCTCCTCCCCAGCTCCAGGCAACCACCAATCTACTTTCTGTTATGGATATACCCCTATGGACGTATCTGTTCTGGATATTAAATGGAATCATATAATATCTAGTCTTTTGGAAGTACTTACCCTTGTTCCAACTGAAGATTGCATTTACCTTTAATCCTTTCTCTTATTCTAATTTCTAGTCATCCAATGATTTGGTCACACCAGGTTAGTCACTCTATTGGACATGCAGTCCTATTCAGAACAGAGCTTTGCATCTGACACATGTGAACAAATGTTTATTTTGGTCTTTTTAATACCTTTACTAGGAAAGAGCTTGCGAATAGCCTAGAGTAAAGGGAATATGGTTAAGTACCAGTCCACTTTTCTCTTATAAGCCTTCGTAAGCCTTTTATAAGCTTCTCTCTTACAATCGTCTCTCATAAGCCTTCAAACAATATTAATATCAACCTGAATTTTACCAGATGCCTGGTGCTGATAGACAAAGACAAATAAATCAAGCTAGAGAAGGAGACTGATATATAAGCAAGTAACTCTTACATTGTGGTAAGTATGTGGTAATAAAAGCATTTGTGTATCAGTAAAGGTAAGAAATCATATATGAGAAAGCATAAGATGGATTTCAGGGGGAAATTTTTAGAAAAATGTGGGGTCATAGAAAGTCATAGAAACTCTACAGTGTATTACTTTTATGATTCACTATGGTACCCATTGATTTTTGCCCTTTAGTCTGTCTCTTGGAGTTGAAGCTCTTGCCCTTTCCATATATTTAGTAAATATAGTGGCAAAATTAGATGGTAAGTGAAGATTCTCGGTGCTACATTATTCTTATTCCAGGCATTGCTTCCTTTACAGGTATAAACTGGAACCCTCATCAGTAGTAGTCTCAACCACCATGGTACCAAATATTATAGACAAACCACTCATTCCGGAGATATCTACCATCTCCAAAACACCCACTATTGAAGAGGCATCTCTTCTCAAAAAGCCATTTGTTTTAAAAGAAAAACCCACTACTGAGAATACAAACCTCATCAAGAGGTCATTATCTTTAAAGAAGTGCACAAATCAGGGGGAGGTGGCCCTCTTTGAGCCACTATCCTTGCTGGAGGAGACTGAGAGTGATGTTGTAGAGTCAATGACTTTTGGGAAGAATCATAAAGCTGAGGAGGCAGCCATCATCAAGAGGACATTATCCTTAACGAATATGTCCACACATCAGAAGAAGCAGTCCTGTTCAAAGGAATTTTTGACCTTGGTGGACATCAGTGATGAAGAGGATTTTTTCCCTGTGGAGCCCACAAACTCTATGAAGAAGCCTAAAACTGAGGAGGCAACCCCCACCGAGAAGCTGTTATCTTTAAAGAAAAAGTGTTCCACTCAGGGGGAGATATCCCGTATGAAGAATCCACTGGTGTTGCAGAAGACCACCTCTGATGAGAAGTCACTCACTAAGGAGCTGTTGTCTTTTAGGAGAAAGCCTACCACTGAGAAGAAACCCCTCTTCCAGAAGCCACCTGCATTGCAAGAGAAGCACACCACTGAGCAAGAGGTGTCCATCTTTGAGAAATCATTGGTCTTGCAGGAGGAGATTGACACTGAAGAGGACTCCCTCTTTGAGGAGCCAATGGCTTTTAAGAAGCAACCTACCACTAAGAAAACCCTCATCTTTAGGCAATTATGTTTAAAGAAGAACTACACTATTCAGAGGAAGATTCCCCACTCAACGAGCCCATTAGTATTTCAGAAGACCACCTCTGGAGAGGAGGTACCCATTAAGGAATCATTGTCCTTAAGAAAAAAGCCTACGACTAAGGAGGAGTCCTTCTTCCAGGAGCTATCTGTGTCACAAGGGATGCACACCACTGATGGAGAGGTGACCCTCTTGAAGGAGCCATGGGCATTGCAGGAAGAAAAAGATAGTGAAGATGAATTTCTTATGGAGCAAATTTCCTTTAGGAAGAAGTTTACTACTAAGGAGGCAACCCTTTCCAAGAAGCCATTACCTTTAAAGGAGAAATGTACCACTCACGGGAAGGTGTACCACTTCAAGAAGTCACTAGTATTACAGACGGTCACCTCTGAAGAGAAGTCGTTCGTTAAGGAGCCATTATCCTTTCAGAAAAAGCCTATCCCTAAGGAGTCCCTTTTCCAAGAGCCATCTGTATTGCAGGAGAAGCACACCACTCAAGAAGAGGAGGCATCTATCTTAAAGAAGCCCCTGGTCTTGCAAAAGACTCCAACTTTTGGAAAAGAGTCACTCTTAAAGGAGCCTTTGGCTTTCAAGAAGCATACCAGTAAGGAGGCAACCTCCACCAAGAAGCCATTACCCTTAAAGGAGAAGTATACCACTCACGGGAAGGTGTGCCGCTTCCTGAAGCCACCAGTATTACAGGTGATCACCTCTGAAGAGAAGTCATTCGTTAAGGAGCC